CTGTTGTACACACACACACACACACACATATGAAGAGAGAGAGAGTATGCATAGTATGGGGTTCAGTTTGAAAGAAGCCCTGAAAGAAGAGAACTATTTGTGCAGGTGGAAAAGAACGAGGCATGCTCTGAGCATGTTCACTCTCTACTCTGACAGACAAACTGTCATTTTGATTGAGTCGAGAGATAAACTGGGGAATGTTATATGTTGTACTGGAGCCAACACAATCTTTTTGCTATTTATTATGAAGCCCAGGTGAGCCACGCCAGAAAGAGCCAGTCATCTAAATATGTTGCCAGACGAATGGCCCCCTGTCTCAGCAGTGCTATCGACACTTCTGTGTGCTTGTAAGGCTCAACACAGAGACAGAGCCTGTTGTTGCTTAAACAAAGGCTCCTTCCTTAGCAGCTTGGGTGTGTGGGCTCCATACGCATATCAGCGAGGGGTCAATGGGGCAGCAGAGCCCTTACAACACACTCCAGAACATGGCAGGTGAATGGGAAATATTCAGCTTCTCCACCTGGGGTAACAGAGGAGGCTGTCAGGCCATTCTCTTCTTCCTCCCGGCATACTGACTGACAGGCTGTGTGGGTTAGCCCTTCAGTGGCCTGCCCTGATCTCCTGCCTGAGTGGGGGTACTGGTGGTGGCTGGGACTTCCTTCGTTTGGAGATAGCAAATTGAGTGGGAAGCCAGACGAACACCTGCGTGAAGGTCTATCTCGGGGCAGGAGCAGGTGTTGACTCAGTTTTCCGGGGGAGGCAGAGCTTGAATGCCTCATCCTCTCTCTCATATTTCTGCTGAATATCCCATCAAGCACGATCGGCATGACCAAAATGTCCTCCTCCTCCCTCTCTGACAGGTTTGTCAGGTTGACCAATCTGGCTCGCTCGTGCAACGCCATCATCCCCATGGATTTTCTTGTGGCTTGGACTGCGCAGTGCTGCATGCTGAGTGAAATATGTGTGATCACAGTAATTTCTTCCCAGACATTTGGGTCAGGTCTGGTTGCCATGCCCCCACATAGCACTGGCTGGTAGGAAACAAAAATGGGGTAAACATTCAGTGCCATTACAGCTAAAAGCCACCGCTTTGTAGGCCCTCTCGGTCATGATGGACTGAAAGCGGTCTGCCTTCGATGGGAGTATGGGGCTCCTGGAGGAGGCTTTAGCCAGCCATAAATGGAGGTGGCCTGCAACTAGCGGCTCCATGTGGGGCATACAGAGTAGGCCGTGCTTCTCTATGCCCTCAAAATCCAGGGAAGAAGGCCCTTGCATGGCGCTGAACAGGAGGCCCTCCAGGAGGCAGTTACCTCTTCCAGCAGCACCAGGAAGACTGGGAGACTGGGAGTTCTCTTCAGAGAACCACTGTGGCTAGGCCCAGCTGTGAGCCCCAGCCTGTGGTTCGGTTTCCGTGACTCCCTCCTTGTCACCACCAGTGACCACTTCCAGTGGTATGACACCCGATCTATGGTGACGATTTGGGTTCAGGAGAAAACAGCTATGGGAATTAGCTAACACTCCTGTCTGTGGAAAGTTAAGCTAGTTAGCCCTAGAAGGTTGAGATGTGGCCCGAAATGAGGAGAGGATTGTGAATAATGTCTATGTAGTAACCAGTGATGTAACGAGTAATCTAACCAATTACTATTCCTATCTTTACAACGCCGTTACTGTTACTAACAAGAAAATGCAGCGCAGTCGCATTGCTATTTTTCAACAAACAGATGGTTGAAGCTGTGTTCAGCTTACCGCATCTTATATCAGTTGCACGGAAGTAGCTGTCTACATAAGTAATCTGGGCGCTACAGCTTTAAGCAGCTGCGTGCGCCCCCGACAGCGGCAATCACTTTCTGGCAGACGATCACTTTTTGGCACAACACCTGGAGCTAAGGGGCAAAACAATCGCATGAGTGCTGCTGTTTGACTGAGGAAGAATCGTGCTAAGCCAATCACAATTACTTTCAGATGACAAAGCAACAAGGTGATATATACCAGTTTTTAAATTGTGTTGATAGGCCACGTAAAACCAGAGTCATGATAAACAATATATATGCAGCGTTTTTTCCTGAATAGTTTCGTCACGTTTACTATCTAAGGACAGCAAGCACTCTCTGCTTATGACCAAACAAAAAAAACAGCCCATTTGTGTTGGTGGAAAAATGCACCATGTCGACCAATCAAAAATAATATGGCAACATGACATTTGGTTGTTTAGGAAGAGGGGGAAGTTTTAGGAGTGACGGCGAGTGAGAGAGAGAGAGACTGTAGAAAAAGAGAGAGAGCGAGTTTTGAGATGTGAGAGATCTGTGACGTTTAGTGTGTTTGGGTTGTGTAGTTAATGTGTTGTCTTGTGTAGTTAGTGTGTAGTGTTGTGGATAGTTTTGTGTTGTGTGTCAGAACAATGAGGCGACTGCTGTCTCCAGGTAAAAAACAGGAGTGATACACCTGCTGCTGTCAGACCTGCAGGTATCAGGCTATGATGTTCTCCTTTA